AAAAAAAAAAAAAAAAAAAAAGAACTAATGAAAAACACGTATTTAAAAAGTGTTAATCAGAACCATAGGGGCCCAGGGTGCAGCTCAGTGGCAGAGGAAGTGCTCCGCATGTAACAGGTCCTGGGTTCAATCTCCACCATCAAGAAATTAAAATACTAGTATGTACATATATGCACTTTTCTTCTATCCTTTCTAATTTTTCTGGTCACTTCTGTAACTGAAAACAGGTAACTCTCCTTGCCTTTACAACTGAGCCCTATAAATCACTTTAAAGAGTCTGGGTCAGAAATGCACCAGGGAAGCCAAGCGTGGTGACGCACACGTGAAATCCTAGTGGGCCAGGAGGACCACAAGTTCAAGGCCAGCCTGAGCAACCTAGTGAGAATCTGTCTCAAAATAAAAAATAAAAGGGCCTGGAGTATAGCTCAGTGCCAAGAGTGCTTCCTCGCATGTACAGGACCCTAGGTCCCATCTCCAGCATCCCCCAAATATGTGACTGCGTGGTTGTAAAAGCTTCAGTCCTCTTCTATCTCCCCTCCCACCCCAGCCAGGTTCTCTCCTTAAGGATGAACTTCATCATCTCTTGCTCTAAGTGCCCAGAACATTCTCCCTCTGCCCAAAGCGGCCCAGGGAAGGAAGAAGGAAGGAACTGGGTCCTGTAGGACTCACCCTTCCCTGGCTTTACACCAGGTGGGCTTCTGACCTAGCCCAGCTGGACACAGGCATCCTAGGCTCTGGATAAACACCATGCAGAACACTGCGCTCTTTACTCTCACCCAGACAGGGACACGGCAGGGACCTGTACAGAAGCACTGGCCGCCACGTGTACCTGTGAGCCTCAGAGCTGAGAGGCCTGTGGCATTGAGGATAGCTGCTGGGGCCGGGGCTCCTCCTCCTGCAAAACAAACAATGGTGTGGTGCACCCCTGATATCTTACATAAAAAGCAGAAACTTAAAAATGAAATACACATTTGTCACAGGAACATCACTTCTAAGATCCTAAAAATTTATATTCAATTACAATAGTTTACAATAGCCCAAAAGAAAAAAAGGTTCATCCAAAAGTCCAACTACAACAAAAGCAATTCATGTCACAGCCAATCAGAAAGGCTGTTCGGAGTGATCACACGGGCTGGATGACAGCAGACATGGTGGCACCGCCTGTAGTCTCAGCAGTCGAAGGCTGAGGATTGAGTTTGAGGGCAGCCTGAGCTAGAGTGAGATCCTGTCTCAAAACAATGACGAGTGAACGCGAGGGCTGGGGTTTAGCACTCACCTGGTATGCAGCCCCTAGGACTGCAATCAGTCATTCAATCAGGACACAGATGATAAAAAAGAATGAACCCTAAAACTAGCACATGACACCCTATCTCCAACAGGTCCTCTACTGTTTAAAGACAAATTCAAAATCATTCATAGAATAGCGAGTTTGCTTTGTGTTAACAATAACCATCTCTGGATGGTAGGATAATTTTCTTATCCATTCTTATGATTCTGAATGCTCTATAACAAGGGTTTGTGTTTTTTTTTTAATTATTTTGGTACCGGGGATCGAACTCGGGCCCTTGTGCTTGCTTGCAAGGCAGGCAGCAGCACCACTGAGCCAAATCCCCAGCCCCACAGGTGTTGTTTTATGCTTTGCTATTTGATATCTGAAGGACTACCAACAGTTGCTGGAGTGTAGCTCAGAAGCAGAACTCCTGTGCGGCTTGTCCAAGGTCCTGGATTCACTGCCAGCATCCCCAGTATCACACCAACCAAGGCAACAAACTTGACTCTCTCGAAGTGACAGTCCTAAGATGGCCCTAACTTCGATTGCCAGCACCAAAAGCTGAGTAAATAAACTATACATAGCCGGGCATGGTAGGAGGCTGAGGCTGGAGGATTGCCAGGTGTTTGAGTCCAGCCTGGGCTACATAGTGAGACCCTGTCTCAAAAAACCAAATATAGGTTATATACATATGTAAATAAACATATACATATGCATTTTGAGACAGTCTCATTTAGGGTTAGGGTTAGTCCAAGCTAGCCTCCAATTCACAATCCTCTTGCTTAAGGCTCCAACCAGCTGGGATCATAAACACCTGCCACACCCACTTTAAATAAAAATTAAAGCCACAGTTGTATTTAGCTCAGTAGTGCCACTGCCTACCTCACAAGCACCAGGTCTTGAGTTTGATTCCCCAGTACAAAAAATAAAATAAAATATAAATAAATAAAAAAAGCCAGGCATAGTGGCACACACCTGTAATACCAGCACTCAGGAGGCTGAGGCAGTAGGAGCACCTCAAGTCTGTGGCCAGTATAGGCTACATAGTGAGTTCAAGGTTGGCCTGGCTAAAAGGGAGAAACACTGTCTCAAAAAGAGAAAAAGAGCCGGGGATTTAGCTCAGTGGTTCGGTGGCCTGCCTTGCAAGTGCAAGGACCAGAGTTCAATCACTGGTACCAAAAAAAGAAAAAGAAAAAAAGAAAATCGAGGTATCACTGTATTGCCAGGCGTCGTGGTACACGCCTGTAATTCCAGAACTCGGGAGGCTGAGGCAGGAGGATCTCTGTGAGTTCGAGACCAGCCTGGGGTACACAGTGAGTTCTAGGTCAGTCTCAACTACAGAGTGAGACCCTGTCTCAAAAAAAACAAAAACAAAAACAAAAACAAAAAACAAAAAACAAAAAACAAAAAACAAAAAAAAAAAACCCCAAAACCAAGAAACAAACAAAAGGAGAAAAAGAACTGTTCTTATGGTGCAGTATTCACCAAACCACAACATAATAGCCCACCTCAAACAAATTCAAGCATCTGAGCTCCATGCAGCACCTGCAGCACTAGAAGTCATGGAGAGTCGAGGGCCAGAGCAGAGGCCGCACACAACCTGCAGAGGAGCTGGCCTGCCACACACCTTATAGCGTAGCCACCTTCAACCAGATGCGGCACCTAGGAGGGGAATGAGACCAGACTCAGGAGGAACCCAGAGGGACAGCTTTCCTCTGTGGCTGTCTTCACAATGGAGACCAAATCTCTAGCCTCAGCATGCTAGGCAGGGACACTGAGCTATATCCCAGGCCTTTCTTTTCTGTTTTGAGGCAGGATCTCACTGAGTGGCCCAGACTGGCCTTGAATCTGCCATCCCCCATGGACACAGACACATTCCCTCCACCCAGCTCACACCTCTGTGCAAACAATGTTCGTCTCTTGACCTACTCCAACCACTTAGAAACACCAGAAACAAGCCAGGCATGGTGGTGCATGCCCACAACCCAGCACACAGGAGGCTGAGACACGAGGACTGTGAGTTCCAGGACCTGGGGAGTTCAATGTCAGCCTAAACTACTAAGGAGACTCTGTCTCAAAAAAAAAAAAAAAAAAAAAAAAAAAAAA